CCATCTTGGTACACGTTCCCAACCCTGGAGAAAAAACAGTAGGAAATTTTTCCTTAAGTTTCTTTAATTTTGGGGCTTCTACCTTATAACAGAATGAATTTATCGGTAGATCCCATAATTGGAATTCTGTTATCCAATTCGTACCAAGTAAGTTCGTGGTATTTTTTATGACAAATACGTGACGTTTGTAACAAATTCGCCAATAAATTGTATTTTTTCTCCCGTCACTGACCTCGCGATTTTATTTGTCTTCATTAAAGTTGGTTTCCCCAACTTCTTCCACGTACACAAATTTATGATAGATAGGTCGGAACCAGTGTCGAGTTGCATTTTTATTTTTTTTATTACTTATTTCGACGGTAACAATTTTTTCTAGTTATTCCATCGTTCACCTCGTTGGACTTTAATTTTCTTATTTTATTGTCTTTATTTTTTACCTGCAGTGCGAGCTTTTATGACCCACTCTTTTACAGTTGAAACATTTTTTATTCCTAAAATTGCAATATCTGTACCAGTGTAGTTCACCGCAAGCAAAACATGGCTTCGGAAGTTTGTTTTTCTCTGGTATTTCACTTTTTGCTTGATAATCCGCAATTTTAGAATTCTTGTTGGTAGACTGACTTTCTTTTTGTAGCGTATTTTCCTTACATGCGAAACGCCAGACTGTTATATCTTTTTCGAATCTTTCTTTACACTAACATATCTTGTGCAGTCTTCTACCAACTTGTGTATCGTAATCCTTGGCTGGTTTTCCAATTTTGACAGCACTAATTTTCTCAACTCTGCGTCTCTTTCCGATACCAGCGCTTGAACAAACACTAAACGCTTAAAATTGTCAGCGCTTAACTCTGCCAGTTTGAATTCTTCACAATGCTTATTCACATTGGCTGCGTACGTTATATAGTCTTGTTCGTCATCTTTCATCAGATTCAAACATTTTCACCTCTTGTGAAACAAAGATGTCTTTTTACTAAATAATTCACTTAATATATTTACCGCCTCGGTAAATGTCAACTCGCTAGTTTTTTTCGGTAAAATTAAGTTTACTAATTTGTTATGCTCAGCAGTTCCTAACTTGCTTAAAAGAAGTCTAACCTTCTTTCCTTCAGACCACGTGTGGCAGTCCTCGTTATACACGTCCGTATATTTTTTATAATACTCCTCAAAGTTGTCTCTTCATCTGGACTGTACGTGAATATTTCAATTGAATTCCATATTGTATTCTCTGGGAAAGAATCATTTTGTAGACTTTTCTCTTTCCTCTTCTCAGTTATTTCCAGAATTTTGTTTTGAAACTCCCTATGCATCTGTTCCATTCCTTGTTGAAATTGTATTTGTCTGTTGAAAATTTCCTCCTGCAGTTGCATCTGGAATGTTCTCTGTTGCTCTAATATTGTCATCTGTTGTTCTGACTGGAACTTAAAAATTCGTGACCTATTTGAGCAAACTGTATTATCGAAAAAACAAAACAAAATTCTTTTCTCAGTTGAGAATACGACAGATTTTTTCGTCACCAAGTTGACGTTTTGTCCTTCGAAAAACTTTGCCAAGTTTTTTTTTTTTTTTTTTTTAAGTGTGAATCCAAGATTTTGTCGCCGAAATTATTGTGACGAGCAATTTTTTTTCTTTTTCCTCCGTATGAGTACGAATTTTGTCAACAAATATTGTTGTGGTGAGCGAATATTTTTTTCTCTCTTCCACTGTATGGATCCGAATCCCTCGTCGCCAAATTATGCTGTGGCGAACGAATTTTTTTTCTCTCTTCCACCGTATGAATCCGAATCCCTCGTCTCCAAATTATACTGTGGCGAACGAATTTTTTTCCCTCCGTATGAGTTCGAATCCTCGTGGCCAAGTTATTGTTGTGGCGAACGAATTTTTTTTTTCTTTCACCGTATGAATTCGAATCTTCGTCGCCAAATTATGCTGTGGCGAACGAATTTTTATTCCTCCGTATGACTACGGATTCCTCGTCGCCAAATAATTGTTGTGGAGGCTTGTATTTGTACTAAGTCAGTCCTAAAATAGGTTCGACGTACAAAACGTTAGGAACTTGATATAATAGGTAATGACGCAGAGAAATCTAGTGGTAGTCGCTGATACTTTAGTATTCGACTGACTGTCTGACTCATTAAGCGACTGACCGACTCCCTCGATACTCTTACTACTCCTACTTATTATAGGTGGGAGAGTCTATTAACTATGAAATAGGTGTGTTCCACTATAACAATAACCCACTGAGGTGTTGATATGCCGTAAAACAAAATAAACCAAACCAAATCTCCTACAAACTGATTTCTTACAAAGAATATATATTCTGTTCATACGAACCGATCAACAAAAAAATAAAATAAGTCAAACCAAATCTTTTGAGAGGATTGTCCAGAATTCACTGTCATACAAAAGGATTAATATTATATAGCAGTTAAGTGCCCTTTTCTTTGTTTCTGACGACATTTTCCTATTTTTTCGTATTTTCTTTGGCTTCCCGAATGCAACTTTCTCTAATGCAATCCGTTTTTGAATTTCGATGCCGCATCGTCTGTTAAAACATTTTCTTAAATAAACTCGTCAGATCGAAACTTTCATATTGCTGTCCTGCATGGCCTCAAAACTCGTTCAGAAATATCTAAACTGTCAAGTGTATACAACCGTTTTCTCAGACCAATGGTTTAGATACCTTCGAAAAGAATGAAGCTGTAGGTCTTAGCGAGAACAAATCTTCTTCGAAACCCGAGAACTGGCGCTACAGAATCACAAATAACTGTGTCAAATAGCAGAAATCACAATACTTGGGGAATTTCTATTGCAGAAACAATTGAAATATTGCATGCACCTCAAAGAAAAAATAATTACATAATCAAGATGTTAGCTTTCCACACAACTTCAAACAAAAGCTTAGGAAGGAAACCACTATGAGTACGAGAAAAAGCGAGAACAGTTAGTGCACTTAAGAAACTTATTTTCTTGGAAAATTGTTCTCAGAGAAAGATTTTATAGATTTCAACCGAAAGTATTCATTTTTGTTAGATCGTCATGGCCTGATCTATGTATTAGGTTTTATTTTTTGATATTTGTCCAGTTTTATTTTCTTTCTTGAAGTTTATTTCTATGTACTCGGCATTTAATGTTTACAGTTTTTTTATTCTCAGCATAATAAGTATTTATCATGCATACCTTTTCGGAGCAAAAAGAAAGTGTGTATAAGAGTACTACATTGGCAGAAAGCAGTTCACGCTATGGAAATAAATAAATAAAAAATATGTTAACATGACCTATTAACCTAGTCAAATGATAATCCTTTCTAATGTATACGTGTTTATTCGCAGTTGTTTGTGAATTTTGAGTTACACGCCTTGAATTGCTAAGCCCATTACATGCTAAATCGTGAGACAAAAACAAACTGTCAATATCGCTCTTTCTTTCTTTTTTATACCAAGAAGGGTTAAGCACGCGATGCGTAAAAAGATGTTCAGTCGTCTGTCAGTGAAACAATAGGAAACAACATTGTTATCACACTTCTCTGCGTGGGTGTTTTTTTTTCTTCTATGTGTTGTGGATCGAAAAGAGACGTGACTAAAAGACAAATGTGCTTAACTATTTCAAGAAGAGAGTTAAGCTTGCTCGGGGTAAGAATGATAAAGAAAAGACCGGTAATCTTTCTGTTGAAAGAGCCGTATTGAAAAATCTTTGATAAGGAACAACAAATCTTGAAATATTCCGATTAAAGATTAAAGAAAAGAATAGAAATATTAACATATAACGATATTCCATATCTATCTCTTATTCTCTGACAAAACCATTCCCATTTTTCTCTCTCACTCTCTTTTATATATATATATATATATATATATATATATATATATGTATATATATATATGTAATTATTTTTAAAAATATATTTTCATCCACAAGCGATGATTCCAAACATCGCTTGTGGATGAAGCTCTCATCCAACAGTTAACGTTTAATATTGAAATTAAACTTGAATACGGATGACCAGTTTCGAAACATAGTAATTTCTGTGTCGCGATGGAATCATATTTTTGTTTTTACAAAATAATTATAATTTAGACTCTACTTCTGTATCGAGCACTGTTTTTTTTTGTTTTTTTAATAAAAATAAAAATACTACAGAACTTTGGATCATCAATCTAACAGTTCTTTCCTATTATATCAACACACACACACACACACACACACACACACACACACATATATATATATATATATATATATATATAACAGTGCTCGATACAGAAGTAGAGTCTAAATTATAATTATTTTGTAAAAACAAAAATATGATTCCATCGCGACACAGAAATTACTATGTTTCGAAACTGGTCATCCGTATTCAAGTTTAATTTCAATATTAAACGTTAACTGTTGATGAGAGTTTTCATCCACAAGCGATGTTTGGAATCATCGCTTGTGGATGAAAGTGTCATATTTTTAAAATTTATATATATATATATACATATATATATATATATATATATATATATATATATATATATATATATATAGAAATATACTCTTAAGGTGTGCTTTATATTTATGGGATAAAGTGCTCAATATCAGAGATAGAGCGTAAGTAAATATAAAGACGAACATTGACGTCAACACTTAGAGGCGACAGGCTGTTTCATGCTACACTCAATCGTCAGGCCACCTGACGATTGAGTCTAGCATGAAACAGCCTGTCGCCTCTAAGTGTTCACTTCAATGTTCACTTATATATATATGTGTGTGTGTGTGTGTGTGTGTGTGTAAAAATCCGTGGTAAATAATCCAAGTGAATCCAGTAAAATAAAATATTGAAACTGATCCACAAAGATAGGTCAAGGTTCATTTTTCTGATGTTAAATTTCCTACCTTATCTATACTTTCGTCTAGACGAATCGTTATGCTTCCCATTCATTTCTCTCCCGATCTCTACTTTGTTCTTTTTTTTTTTTTCTTTTTATTTTCTCTCTGTCTTTCTCATTTCTCCCTTTTAGATCCCTTTCTCTTTTTTGTCGTTTTTCTTTTTTCTTTCTTTCTTTCTTTCTTTCTTTCTTTCTTTCTTTCTTTCTTTCTCTTTAATTTAAAAATAAATTGTTAGGCTAAATATTTTTTTTCTTTATCAAACCTTTTAGTTCCCCTCCGGAGCTTGTCAGCTCCGGAGGGGAACTTTTTCCTAGGGAGCCGAATCGCCATACAGATGTGGTATTGAATTTACATTTTTATGTAATCTCTCTCTCTCTCTCTATCTTTCTCTCTCTCTCTCTCTCTCTCTCTATATATATATATATATATATGTATATATTATTTTTATTTTTGAAAAATATGATTCCATCGCTACATAAGAGTTCTCATGTTTCAAAAACAGAAGCTAAAATCTTCAATTCAATTATAGAAATTAAATTAAATTAAATTAAAGTACCTAGTTCTGTTTCATTCTCAAGCGAATTTTGGAATAAGTAATTTTGAAATTTACGGAGCTTTATAAGCATATACATTCGTAATATTAATTTCTATGGAAACGGAGAAAACGAATCATTTTAATAAGGAGCGGTAGGGTTTAGATTTTCACTGACAACTATTTTTGTCACTGAAAATGAATACCCTACCGTCCTATCGATGGGATTTTTTTAAAATAATTATAATATAGGCTCTACTTGTGTATCGAGCACTGTTTTTTTAAAAATAAAACAAAAATACTAAAGCACTTCGGATTATTAACCTAACGGTTCTTTCCTATTTTTCTATATATTTGCACACACACACACACACACACACACACACACACACACACACACACACACACACACACACACACACATATATATATATATATATATATATATATATATATATATTTAATAAGCTCATAATCACATATATCTACCACAAACCTACAGACACTCAACAATATCTTCATTTCAAGAGCCATCACCCAAAAAGCTGCCTGAAATCCATTCCCTAGCACGTAGAGTTTGTACTATAGTAACTGTCAAATACCCCCGAAAATCCCACCTAGAAGAACGACATAAAACTCTAAAAAAAAAAAACAAAAAAAAAAGGCTAGCCCCAACACTTATAAATAAAGGTTTTGAACTAGCAAAAATTTCCTATAGACCAACTACGAAATCCAAAGAAACGTAACGTCGAACAAACTCTAGCATGTGTCTTAACAGACAAGAACAATCTAGAACTATTTACAGAAATTACAAGAAATCTAGAAATACTTAGCAAGAATGACAAACTGAAAAATATACTAAAAACAACCAAAATAATTAAAAGCAAATGCCAATGTAAAAGCCTGAAACACATATTAACCTCATCCAAATTTAACCAACACACAATACAGGGAGTCACAAAAATGTGAGGTTTGTGACATCATTATAAAAGGAAATTCCTACACTTTTGAAAGCCCCAAAATGACATTAATAATAAATAAAAATTTAAACTGCAACAAAAATATGATTTATGCACTCAAATGCAAGAAGTCATATATAGCATCAGTCAAGCACTAAACAACAGAGTTTCTCTTCACAAAAGCAACATCAAATTGCCAGACAACACATCTATAAATGTAACCACGGTGAATTTAAAATTATACCAATATATCAAACAGATAATTATTCTTGCCGACAAATACAAGAAAAAAACTTCATAAACAAATTTAAACCAGAACTAAATAGAACATAACCCCACACGTACAAAAACACACAACAATCACACGTAATAGCCAAAAACAGTTGTCGAATCACCCAAATGCATACGGACACACTCACACCCGGGTATCTGTGGAGCACGAATATATATATACACATATCGGCAAAAACAAACAGACAAGGACACACGAGAACCTTACACAACATAGGAAGTGTGTGTATGTGTATGTATGTATATATGTATGTATATATATATGTGTGTGTATATGTGTATGTATACTAAAACCTTATAATAAAACGGTATGTATGTAGGGAGAGGGAATATACATATACATACGCATACTAACAAAAAACACACACAATACAAAAAATGGAGATAGATCTAAGAACACACAGGGGTCATTATAAGATAAGAATACAGATATCAGTTCTCACCCTTTCTCGGACAAATCTTAATTGTTTTATTGCCCTTCACGCAGAAGAACTTTCTCACTGTCAGTTCAAGGAAGACATTTGTGTCACTACCACACAAAAAAGACATTGTTTAACATCGAGAATGTTTAAAATCGAAAAACACAAGGAAAATTAATTCATTTTAATAATATGTGGAAACATCCACTCTTTCCTGAAGAAGGTCACGAGATCCGAAACCCGCGTTGCAAAATTATGGAAAATAAAGCATAATATATATTTCTTTAAAAATCCACATTACAACCCAGAAATGTTTGCGGTTTCTTTCTTCTTTTTAATATATACACCTTTCACTCGTTGGAAAAAGTTTAACCACTTCCATATTTACATTATTCGGACTATTGTCCTCATCTTTGTCGCCATATTTATTACAACGTTTCGGCCTTTCAGTATCTGTCTATATTTCTGATATGAGGTATTATGTACACTATTTACATTATTCGGACTATTGTCCTCATCTTTGTCGCCATATTTATTACAACGTTTCGGCCTTTCAGTATCTGTCTATATTTCTGATATGAGGTATTATGTACACTATTTACATTATTCGGACTATTGTCCTCATCTTTGTCGCCATATTTATTACAACGTTTCGGCCTTTCAGTATCTGTCTATATTTCTGATATGAGGTATTATGTACACTATTTACATTATTCGGACTATTGTCCTCATCTTTGTCGCCATATTTATTACAACGTTTCGGCCGTTGTACGCTCCGGCCTTCTTCAGGTGGCTGGAATGTCGAACTTAACTTTTTATTTCGCTCACTGGGGTAGACTAGTTCCACGTGCCATGTTTAATGGATGTCAGTTATCAGTTATCTCCTGTTAATTTCCTTCTGAAAGTTCTCCATTGCCTTAACCGGGTATTTAACTCACGATCTTTGTGTCCTGTCACTGGATCTAACCAACACCTTTATCCACTGTGCCATGTATCCTTAAGTAATAAATATGGCTACAAAGATGAGGACACTAGTTCTAATAATCTAAATAATGTACATAATATATATATATATATATATATATATATATATATATATATATATATATATATATATATACTAGCAGTAGAGCCCGGCGTTGCCCGGGGATGTAACAGATAGATCAAGCATCGATCATCATAAAGATTGAAAAATAAAATTGACAAAGATTATTGTTTAAGGTTGACGGACACGCATGTCTTAATTAGTTTTTTTTTTTTTTACGAATTGGTCAAACCCAAACTCAAACAAAAACATTGTTTTCAATCATTATGAGTCTACCGATTGAATAGAATTTTATTATAAACAATTGTCTTGTAAATAGAATTTTTAAAGCATTATGAATGTAAAAATAAAGAAAAAAGTGTGCAAGACAATAAGAAACACTACCTACCAAAAAAAGTGAAGTTTTGTTGAAATCGGTTGGAAAATGTAGGAAATCCGATCCCGTATATAAACGAACACACACACACACAAACAACCAACCTGGGTCTTATAATAAGTATAACTCGATATGAGTTATCCCCCTTTCATTAATGCCTTTTAATCGTGTTTTCAAATTGATTTCGTGCAAAAACAATTGTTTTTTTCAATTTTTGGCGCTGTCAGAACCACCGCAAGGCAATTTTACGTACGCCTGTGAAGTTTTGTTGAAATCGGTTGAAAAATGTAGGAAATCCGATCCAATATATAAGCGTACACACACACACACACACACACACACACACACACACACACACACACACACACACACACACTCACAATCTGCGTTTTATAATAAGATGTCTGTAGGAACGAAAGCTTGTAGCAAAAATAACTAATACGGCAGAAATTTATAGAAACAAGGATCTTTTCATTCATAACGGATTCGGAGGTTTTTGTATATTATTTGAATTGTTTGTGACGATGGATTTCTCGCCAATTAAATCATTAACCTTTGCATTTGTTTTTGCGTGAATATATATATATATATATATATATATATATATATATATATATATTAGATATGTATATATATATATATATGATTACTTTTATAAAATTTATTAAGGACACTATTGTTTTAAGAAAAAGTTTTTCAATGTATGATTAATTTTTACAAGAATTATTTTCATTTTTTTTTTAAATTTTAATTAAATAATTTATAAAATTAAAAATCTTTTAAAATTCTGTATTACTTCAAGGCGGTTAGTTGTTCTTGTTATTAAGTAAAAACTAAATTTACGAATCAAAAATTGAAAAGCTCATAACAGTTGTTTGTAACAAATATTTTTAAAAGACTTTTGAAAAAAATTAGTTTATAAACGTTCCCAATTTCTAACTATGGTAAGCAATAAATGATATTATCCTTTAATATATCACGTGATTTAAGACTTGTCTCGCTCTCTTCAATTCATTCACTTTCACTATTCAGTTCTGTTTCCTCGTTAACGTCTTTGCAAATCATCCCTTCAAAATTTCAAAGTAAGTTTTAGTTTTTTTTAATTACTATTTTACTAAATATCTTTTATTTTATTTTATGTATTTATTTTAGTTTGGGTCATACTTTAATTAAGTCAATAAACTTAAGAATCTAGAGACGAAAGCCAAATTTCATAAAGCATCTTCAAACGTAACTAATATTAAAGAAAATATTTAAAAAATGCAAAAAAATATGTTAATTTGTAAAAATTACTAGGTAGTTAAAAACAAAAAAAAAAAATGTGTTCACTTAGATTTCGTAAATTTATGTCAATTCTGTTCATCCATACTAGCTGTCATCACATCGGGACTTATTCATACGTCAATAAATATAAAAGAAACACAGAACTCGTCGCTAAGAAATGCTTGTATATTACTTTATATGCTATAAGTACGTAATGCTTATTTCTAATCAGAATTTAATCAATCAAATCTAATCAATTTAACTTTAAATTTGCTAATTTTATTCAACTACCGTGTCACAAATATATATATATGTATTTTTTTTGGGCGGGGAAGATTTGTAAAACGTATAATTATATTTTGTTTACAAATTTCTTAAAATTAAGAAAATGGTCGCTTGCAAGATTTTCTAAAATCGGCCAAAAAGTTGAGATTTCGATTTATATAATTTCTATTTGAAATGCACCAGAATATTTTACTTACTGGAAATTATAAATTTAATCATTTTGCTTCCAATGAAAACTAAAAGCAAATCTTCAAAAATGATTTTGATTTTTAAAAAAACATTTTAAACCTTAGGTATCGAAAATTCCGTGTAGGTACTTAATTTTGTTAGTTGTTAAATGTCTACATTGCAATAACATGTAGACTGGAGAGAGGCTTCACGTGATGTAAAGACCCGTATCCAGGAACACAAACGAGATTTGCGTTTAGATAAACACTCAAATTCTCTCGTATTATACCTCAACAATGTCGGACATTAATTTCACAAATGCCAGCATTATCAAACAAAAATAAAACTCTTTAAAAAGAAAATATTATGAAAATATATTTATACCAACATTACCAACTATTAACACGCGTTTAAAAAACTACATTACATCAGCATTTGTCTACAGATCCATTATTCATGACTTATCTCTTCCAAATACATAAAAATCAATATATATACAAAATACGCAAGAGATATAATCTAATGAAAAATTGTTCAAAATATCCTGCAGCGTCTCACTAACCTTTACACTTTAACATCCAGAATATTTTCTTACAATTATTTGAATATTATCTGTTACTTATACGTTACACGTACCCAATCGGAACATCCTACTGCATCTTACTAACTTTTACACACTTTAGCGTCGAGAATGTTTGCCACACATATTTAAATATTATCTGTCACTTCAATACCCGTGAGACGTATATAAGCAATGAAATAGCCTAACACAACATACAATTAATCTGCATCTCTTTGCTTTAATCATTTTTTATCATTTCTATCTTGATCTCTGACGAAGCTTTAATAAAGTGAGATATGTTAAATTAAGCTATGTTTCCTATTTTACTATCATTTTGTCGGATTCCTATCCATATTCGATCTCAGTCTCTCTCTTTCTGTGTGTGTGTGTATATATATATATATATATATATATATATATATATATGACTTTTTTGTATTGTTAAGCAAAAGATAAAATGTAATTACCTACAATATATTGCCTTTCATTTTTCAGTCTCTCTCTAGGCTCCTCTTACTACCAAAAATTTCAAATTTGGATTCGTCTTTTTTGGTGGTTTTATTGACGAAAACAAAATATGATGCTGTTGTATGGTATTTTTTATTGTTAATTATTTATTTTTTGTCAAAATAAAATCAAATTTTATCTCATACTTTAAAAGAATAAAAAAAATATCTCATTTAAGATGTTTTTAAAAAGAAACGTATATAGTACAAGTAACAGATCCGTTGGTATATAATCCAGGTGGATCCTAGTAATATTAGATATTAAAACTGATCCACAGTGAGAGCTCAGTGTATTTATTATAATAGAGCATATATATTATACAGCAAAATATCCAAAATTACCTCATTTGGGTATAGTCTATTTGAAACTAGCACTTCTATGTGTCAGCTATCCTCAGACCCAGACAGTTTGGGGCTGATAGCACATAGCAGTGCTAGTTGGAAATAGAGTATATCCACATGGAGGAATTTTGAATATATATATATATATATATATATATATATATATATATATATATATATATATATATATAGCCTCTTTTTTAAATGTTTAAATTTTAAGTTCCTATTTTATACCTTAACAAAATAGGACTTGTTGACTTAAATAGCTATTCTGATGAGATAAATTTGTAATTCTATTTTTATGTAACACACACAGATACATACATACATACAAACATATATATATATATATATATATATGTACATACATATATATATATATATATATATATATATATATTTATATATATATATATATAAAAAAAGTGAACATAGAAGTCAACACTCAGGGCGAAATTGCATATAGCATGAAACAATCGTGTCGCCCTAAGTGTTGATATGATATGTTCACTTTTATATTTACACACGCTCTATCTCTGATATTGAGCACTTTATCCCATAACTATACCCACCTTAAGACTATATTTCTTCATATATATATATATATATATATATATATATATATATATATATATATAATGTATTTGTGCAGTAATCGCTCCTTTATACAAGTTTCATCCAAAAACACTGACGAGGTACTACGATTTTTTTCTTCATGGCTACCGGCTTATGTAATTTAATAATTGTGCATTTGGGCAGTAATCCCTCTTTTAAAAATATGTGTGTGTATATATATATATATATGAAATGGACTAAGTCCGACAATTATTTTAAAACATTTTTATGTTTATACATTCTTTTTTTATAGATACAAATATTTTAAGTAAATGCTCTGTTTATAATAAACAGTATTAATGACATTTACCGCCCTGAATGTCCGAGAAATTGTCAGAGAAGATATGCGTCCTCCGACAGGAATCGAACCTGTATCCTATACAGAACCATCATATAGCCTGATGTGCTTTTACTGATTTCGCCACAGAGAAGCGTTTCGGTTAGCAAGGTCGATTTTAATGGAAGATAGTAGTTTAAAGACAGTAAAATGAGATTGTTACAGTAAGAATGTTCGGTCCGACTGTCAGAGCTGACTGCTGGAAACTTCCCTCACCAAAAGGCAGTACCTGCTCCTATTGATGGATGGGAGAGTCCATGCACGCGTGGGTAAATTACCAAAACAGATAGATAGATAGATAGATAGATAGATAGATAGATAGATAGATAGTCTTTTTTTTAATTAATTGATGACACCACAAAAGTACAAGTTCCACTTACATTTAATGTCCCATTCAGTTATCTTGGAGAAGGATGGGCTCCGCCAGGTTAAAAAGCTCAACAGGTCGGCGCACAAACGACTACTCCAAGGGTTAAAGAACAAGGCAGAAGAAGAAGAAGATAGATAGATAGATAGATAGATAGATAGATAGATAGATAGATAGATAGATAGATCCCTCGTATTATCGCCCTGCTAATCTTCTATCTTATTTTGGTAAAGAACTGCGATCAACTCTGAATTCGATAAGCATCTAACCTCGAACGGTCTAGATAGATAGATATGAACTGAATGTAATAGATAGATAGATATGAACTGAGTGAGATAGATAGATAGATAGATAGATAGATAGATAGATAGATAGATAGATAGATAGATAGTGTTGTGGCCTTGTTAGGGCATGAAATAAAGACACAAAAAGAGGAATTGAGTTAAACAAATGCAGTAATACAAACATATACAAACGAGAGTGTTACAACAAGAATGTCACCAGTTCCCAGATCGGTATTTATACCAATGACACAACTATTTACTTTTGTCTTAATAAATCTGATAAATTCGACAAAGTATAACCAGCATCTGCTCTCAAAAATGACCGCCAGTCAGTTTATAAGCGGGGCAAGAAATGGCCTGTAAATTTTAATACCTCCAAAATGAATTTCCTATCTTTTAATCATATAAAGAACCAATTTTGCACTCAAACCAACATGGCTGATGCTAACCGCCTGAAAAGCAAAACTTTTCGCCTTCTTGGTCTCACGTTTTCCACTGACATAAATAGGAGTGGTTATATTAAATCAATTGCTAGGTCTGCTTGTTGGTTCACTGTGTCACGCAAGGAAATATTTCTCACCAGAATCCATCTTACAGCTTTCGTCTGTGCATTGAATATTGCTGACACTTCGAGCTCCTGTAATATATCTTGAGAATCTCAACAAATCCAAGAGAGGGGGTCTGTAATGTTATGTGTCCTGACCTGGCATGTGGACTTAAATCACTTTCCTGCCGGTGTGACGTGGCTTCTGCTCAGTCTTTTGTCCTCTGTCTTCTGTAAATATGTTCGTGACAATTTTTCTAATGAGCTCTCCACCTTGGTACCTCGAACGCATGGACTTCAGCGCGCTACTTGGTTGGAAATTAGGTCTCATCGCTTTACTGTCAAAATAGATAGATGTAGGTTTCTATTCTGTGAATATTTTTGTGACAATTTTTCTAATGAGCTCTCCTCCTTGGTACCTCGACCTCACGAACTTCAGCGCGCTACTTAGTTGGAAATTAGGTCTCATCGCTTTACTGTTAAAATAGATAGATGTAGGCTTCTTTTCTGTAAATATTTTGTGACAATTTTTCTAATGAGCTCTCCTCCTTGGTACCTCGATCGCATGAACTTCAGCGGGCTACTTGGTTGGAAATTAGGTCTCAGCCCTTTACTCCTAAAATAGATAGATGTAAGTTTCGAACTTCTCACCTGCGGAACTATATTCTGGTTTCTCGCTGCCCTGACACCCACGATCTTCAAAAATATAAATGCAACGTCATCTTTTTTTTTTTCTGTTCTTTTAGTGTTTTTTTTTATTTATCCTCGCTAAAGTTTTCTCATATTATTTCACTTTCACTAGCCCCTGGCGTCTTAGTGACTTTATCACCTTGTGAAACGATTAAAAAATATTCTACTTACTTACTGTAGAAATAATTATTAGTCATTTACGTTATAGATACAGATGCGAGTGATGTGCAGTGGAACACAAAATCGGCAAGCCGCGTTCGAATTCCAGTCGAGTTAGTTACATTCCTTTTCGTGAAAATAATATTAGGAAGTGTATAAATCTATCTCTTCTCCCTAGGCTATGGGTTAAATAGTAGAGCAGACTGGCATCTTCAGCATTGGTTGGCAACCAGTCGAGATGGAGGATAACTCTGAATTCCCAGACACATAGTTGATAAAACTCGTTAGCATGGTAACACGTGTTAGTCTAAAACAGTGATTCTCCACCTCCGTGCCACGGCACACGCGTGTGCCGTGCTATCCTCTTAAGTGTGCCGTGAAACCATATATATATATATATATATATATATATATATATATATATATATATAATGGACTCACTTATCGTTAACGATAAATATTAAACTACTAAATAAAAAAAGTGACACCAAAGACAATGAAAGCATATAAAGGAATTTATAGACAAGTATTTCACTGCAAAATGTCATAGAGAAATTATTTTACTATAAAATTTGAAATTATACTGCAATAAAAATTTCAGTATCTGTCTATATTTCTGAGATGAGCTATTATGTACACTATTTACATTATTCTGACTATTGTTCTCATTTTTGTCGCCATATTTATTACAACGTTACGGAGCGAGCGTAATAAACGGTTCAGTTCGACATTCCAATCACCTGAAGAAGGTCGGAGCGTACAACGGCCGAAACGTTGTAATAAATATGGCGACAAAGATGAGTACAATAATCCGAATAATGTAAATAACTGAAATTTTCTTTTGAGATTATAGTCTTATATGTTATTTACGCAATAGGATTTATCAAAAAAAATCATTACATTAATCTTATTCATTACACTCCGGAGTATGACGATAAACTACATCCGGCAGCATGACCTCTGATCGGGAGATTGGAGTTTTTGAGGAACGTGGAACCATCTCTTAATTGCTGTCGTTCCCAGGTTCACCTTGACCCGGAGAAATAGCAACTGTTATGGTCCCTAACTACGAACAAATTGTGAAACCCCAAACTAAAATCAAAATACAAGGAAAGTATAAAAAATACATTTTCATAGTTAAATACCTGCAAGATATTTTTATATAAGAATTATTACCAATACATTTTTGTAGTGAAATTACCAACAATAAAATTTATAGTAAAATGAACACCAATACATTTTTAAAGCAAAATGACCTATGATACATTTTATAGTAAATCGTCCAGCAATATATTTTTTTTAAAAAATGACAATCAATACAAAATAGTAACAAAAATTTTTTTAAATATTTTTATACTAAAATTACCAGTTATTATTAAAAATACACGTTTAAGTGCCGAAACTAGATGCGTCGTCAGTGTTGTTGCTCCCATGTCACTAGAAGTTGCGGGTCTAAATAAAGAACAGACTTCTTCGATGGACAACCCGACTGAATATGATCAGTGTTCAGCCCGCACCTAGAACAAAATTTGGCACTAGCTTTAGGACGTGCATTATATAAGTTCCCCCAGAAAACGGCAACTAATCAAGACTTCACTTGGGCTATTCGATGTTATAGATCGGGTATGCTTGGTTCTTCTACTGATCTTCCTACATGCGGCCAAGACAGGGTGTTTTTTGGAAAAAAGGAAGAAAACAAACCAATAAACATATATATATATATATATATATATATATATCTTACTTATTATAAAACGCAGATTGTGTGTGTGTATGTGTGTGTCTGTACGTTTCTATACTAGATCGAATTTCCTACATTTTTCAACCGATTTCAACAAAACTTCACAGGACTACGTAAAATTACCTTGCGGTGGTTCTGACAGCGCCAAAAATTGGAAAAATACAATTGTTTTTGCACGAAATAAATTTGAAAACACGATTAAGAGGCATCACGAGAATGAAAGGGGGAAAACTCATATCGAGTTATACTTTAAACCCAGGTTGTAAAACCCAGTGTGTGTGTGTGTGTGTGTGTGTGTGTGTGTGTGTGTGTGTGTGTGTGTGTGTGTGTTCGTTTATATATGGGATCGGATTTCCTACATTTTTCAACCGATTTCAACAAAATTTCACTTTTTTTTGGCAGGTAGTGTTTCTTATTGTCTTGCACACTTTTTTTTTTATTTTTACATTCACAATGCTTTAAAAATTCCATTTACAAGACAATTGTTTATAATAAAATTCTACTCAATCGGGAGACTCATAACGATTGAAAACAATGTTTTCGTTTGAGTTTGGGTTTGACCAATTCGTAAAAAAAAAAAAAAAAAAAAACTAATTAAGACATGCGTGTCCGTCAACCTTAAACAATAATCTTTGTCAATTTTATTTTTCAGTCTTTATGATGGTTGATACTTGATCTATCTCTTACTGTTAATTCCCTGGGCAACGCCGGGCTCTACTGCTAGTACATTAATAAAATAAAAACGTTTTATTATATTAGCTCGTCTTACGACTTCCTTTTCTTTCTCTTCCTACCCTCTTAACTTATCTTATTTGTTTGGTCTTTCTCTTTTTATAACTTTCCTTTTTATTCTTTTTTTTAAACTATACTTAACAAAACGTATACAGTAATACAATTTTATAAAAAAAATATCAACAGTACATTTTTTGTCGTAAAATTACCAGCAATAGTTTAAAAATAAAATTACCAACAATACATTTTATCATCTAGGGACTATATATCTAAAACACATTTCTTTGTCTAGAAAACTATAAAATGATATACATCATATCTGTAATTGATTGAAGCCATAAAATACTTACATTTCGGTATTAAATACAGGTTGATATGCTGCTAAATAAAAAGAAAACAAAAAAAAACCAAAGGAACCAAGGATCAACTGAATGATTACATATCTAGTCAGGCGTCAATAATCTTATAACCATTGTTGTTCTCAGGAAGAATATTTTTACGAAGATTCCATCTGCTCTGGAAGAAGAATACAGAGATTCAGGGATATCCATTGAGGATTTTGCCCATTGGTGTTACAATGACCCTAGTAACTTGGCAGCTGGTAATAAAGACATAAGTTTTATCGGAAGCGCTAAAGGAAGGCAGGATTTTATGATGTTATCTCCAAGAACGGATATTTTCTGTCCCATATTTAAAAGCATATATATATATATATATATATATATATATATATATATATATATAAAGAAAGAAAGCAAAACTCCATTCCTTGGCAAGGTATCGAGTTAATTACATTCTTGGCCTTAAGATACAGCTTAAGGATACATTTATGCTTTCAGATGCGTCCGTCATTCAAAACCAGTTTCCATTGATGGATCACGAAAGTAGATAATTTGGAAAATCGCTTCGGATCCGTTATCCAAGAATCGTAAATTTTCATGTATTCTTAGGATAATGGTCTTTGCAAAAGTTGAGAGGATTCAGTTGAATGTTTTCTAAATGCATATCTGGTCTGGGACTGTTGATTCTCCAATTCCGGTCTTCTCTAATTTGCATTGAAGAGCTATGATGCCAAAAAAAGGAGGATATTCTTTCAGGTCTCTATACAACAGCTATTGGATATCACGTTGAAACACCAGATCCTATACGATCACTGAAGTTAAGCAACGTCGGGCATTGTCAGAACAGAGATGGGTGACCACTTATGAATTCTAGGTGCTGTACGCTTAGATCTGCAGTTGGTCTAAAGGGCTTACGACAATATCACATTGAAACACCGGTCTTGATATGATCAGCGAAGTTAAGCAACATCGGGCCTTATCAAAACATAGATGGGTGACCATTTTTGAAATACTAGGTGCTGTACGCATAGATCTGCAATTGGTCTAAAGGGCTTACGACAATATCACATTGAAACACCGATTTTGATATGATCAGCGAAGTTAAGCAACGTCGGGCCTTATCAGAACAGAGATGGGTGACCATTTTTGAAATACTAGGTGCTGTACGCTTAGATCTGCAGTTGGTCTAAAGGGCTTACAATATTATCACATTGAAACACTGGTTTTGATATGATCACCGAAGTTAAGCAACGGCGAGCTTTATCAGAACATAGATGGGTGACCACTTAGGAATACCAGGTGCCATAAGCTTGGATCTGCAGGTCGTCTAAAGGGCTTGCGAAAATATCACTTTGAAACATCGGTTCTCATATGATAACCGAACTTAAGCAACGTTGATCCTTGTCAGTACCTAGATGGGTGAGCGCTTGGGAAATAACTGAAACTGAGATATCCAGACGATGAAATAACACGTAGAAATAGAACAATCCACCCCAATGGACTAAATAAAATTTGGTTCGAAATTCCAACGGATATCACCTGAACGTCCGAATATGACAATAAAGATAAGGCCAACAGTCCGAACAATGTAAATAGTGTAAATTGTTCAAACATCTCATCTCAGAAATATAGACAGATCCTGAAGAAGGCCGGATCGTACAACGGTCGAAACGTCGTGAATATGGCAATAAAGATGAGGACAACTGTCCGAACAATGTAAATAGTTACAACACCTCATCTCAGAAATATAGACAGATCTTGAAGAAGGGCGGAGCGTACAACAGTCGAAATGTTGGGAATATGGCAATAAAAATGAGGACAACAGTCCGAATAATGTAAATACAGTTTAACCCGGATATAAGAGACCCGGATATAAGAGAAACCCGGATATAAGAGAGATCTTCTCTGGTCCCAAATTAGAGCCTGTGTTAATGTATATAAAATAGACCAAACCCGGATATAAGATACTTCTTCTCCGGTCCCGACAACTCTCTTATATCCGGGTTACACTGTAGTGTAAATACATCCAACGTTTTCTCCACTCCTGATGGACGTTTGTAGTAGGAATGAAACTCCTTACCTTGAACATCTTTTAGGAGATCATTCCAGATCTCAAGTGAAATTCTTATATATGAACAATGGGTAAAGATATTGAAACAAAATACAGTGTAACCCGGATATAAGAGAGTTGTCGGGACCGGAGAAGAAGTATCTTATATCCGGGTTTCTCTTATATCCGGGTTTGGTCTAATTTATATACATTAACACAGGCTCTAATTTGGGACCAGAGAAAATCTCTCTTATATCCGGGTTTCTCTTATATCCGGGTCTCATATCCGGGTTACACTGTACTGGCTTCTTATACGATTCCAGAAATTACCTGACTCCTACCATTCTCTATGTTTACCAATGTCAGATCAGACCAAAAAGAAATAGAATTTTCCTGATATATCTGGTCTGAAGCTATACATTAACATTTTCGAGCCTTGACGGAGTTCAAGACGTTTACGTGGTTTTGTGAGTGAGGATTTATTTTCCGTATTGAACGGCCATACTTCTAGATTATTTCGCATTAATGCTGGAATCTCCTTGGGCTTTATCATTAGACATGCGTTGTTTCTTATCTTCATCAACGACTCCCCCGATGTCATCAATTCCCAACGAGGTATTTATCGTAATAACACAACTATTTACTCTTTTCTTCATAATAAGTTCGATAGATCCAACAATGTAATTCCCCCAAAAGGGTCTACAAAATCAAGAAAATTCATTGTTTTCAAAACGTTCAATAATTTTAGAATCCTTAAACTGGTGTAAAATCTGTTTGAAATGAGCTAACATGCTGACACTTTCACGATCAACTCCTCTCATGAAGGTTAACAAATAGAGAAAAATTTGGATGAAATCTGAGGTTCCTCAGGAGTACCTTTTTTGAATCAGCCTGGAATGACCCAACAACAACAGTTAAAATGTATATACTCTGTAACTTGAAGAGAAAATAATGACCTAACCCAGATGTTGATATTCCACACTACTTCAAACAAAAGGTTAGGAAGGAAAGTCCCATCAATACAGGAAAAAAGCAATAACATTGAAGTTGAGAAACTTGTTTTAAAAGATTTTATATTTTTTAAACGAAAGTAGCACTGACTGCTCGGTCAATAAGTGAATTTTTTTTCCTATAAGGTAACGGCTAATATTACCATTACCATTGCCATTAAAGATAAATGGAACAGATATTAAACTTTGATCCCAGACCGATATCCAAAGGGTGAAGAAAAGTCGAGAAGCACATGCTACTCGGTCAATAAATACCGAAAAGTATTATTACTATTCGAACTGGTGGAAAATTAGAAACATGGACGACAGGCGTTGTCAGACTAAAGAAGAAATGGTTTGAGAAAAACAACTATATTGCGAAAATATTCCTCAAAGAAGTGTTTTTTTCTCAAGTCTTAAGTTCTTGAAAAAATTTGAACCGAAATGCCGGGAGTAGAAAAAATATTCAGTTATTTATCGATTATCTTCGTGACTCTTGCTTTTTCTTATATTTATTAATATCTTGCTGAGGCATTTGATATTCTTTTGTACGGGAAAGGGTAAACAACTGAAGTGGTGGACAAAAAGACATTCGAGTCTATATCTTCTTCTTCTTCATTATTATTATTATTATTATTATTATTATTATTTATTGTTTATTTGTTTTGCTTTTTTTTTCTTGATTTTTTAAAATTTATTTTTATTATTTAATAAGGGTCTGCTGTCATTTTCTACAAATCCTGACAAATTCAAATGTCCATATTTACATGCTTTCCTCGCCGTTCTGTTCATGGGAGTGGGGACATGCAACATGGGGCAGCCGTGAGAAAAGGACAAATAATTCCTTTGCTACATTCATTTTTTTTACCTTCCTTTAGTTTCTTCTTCTTCGCCTGTCGTTCATATATTTTTCTTTTTTTTTTCTTTTAAAAAAATTGCAACTTTTTTTATTTCTTTGTTTCTATATTTCTTTTTTTTCTTTTCTTTTTTTTCCTTCTTTCTTTTTTCTTTTCTTTTGGATTTCTTTTTCCAGATTCTATCATTCTTTCTTTCTTTTGGTTGTGTTAAAAAAAAACTTTCTTTTTCTATTCATTTATATTCGGTCTTTTGTCTTTTTTTTGCTACTTCTTATTTTTAATTTTATTCTTAATTTTTCTTTTTTCCAGTCTTTTTCCCTCCCTTTTTTTATTCTCCTCATTTTTCAATTTGTAAAATTTCTTTCTTCAAAACCTTCTTTTTCTTTACTTCTGTCTATATCGTCTTTATTTCTGTCTATATCTCTGAGATGAGGTATTATGATTAATTACATTATTTACATTATTCGGACTGTTATCCTAATCCTTATTTCCTTTGATTTCTGTTGTATACACATTTCCTTCCGGATCCCAACCAGAGACCTAAGGTCAGATATGGAATCTTGATATTTTCCACTGATCATTTTTATAAAAAAAATAACAAAACAAAAAACAAGATCACACACATTTTACATAGATAAAGTTCTTCATAATGTGTGAGCTGTACTTGTGAATACAATTTTTTTTATATTTGATTGCAAGGTATGAGCTGCCAGAAATTCCTCCAATGTGGAACTTTTTCTAATCAATCCGAGGGCTGCACCTGGAATTATTGATATTCTTATATGGCACATTTTTTAGATTTCCACTTCAAGTTCCTTGTTTTTTGTTTGCTTCTTGAAGATCTTCCAAGATACATTACAATCTTCAGGAACTGCCATGTCATTAAGAAAGCACATTCTGTTTCTTGTGTTCTTTAATCGAGATGTCTCGGCGATTAGCTTTGATTATTCTGTGTGTGTATTGCAAAGTTCCCTAAAATTGTTACAGGTTCTATCAGACAGAAAGATATGACTTTCACATAAGGCAGCGAGAATGGTAATGGACGCGTGGCTGCACGGCTGCATTAGATTGTGTTTAAAAAACGAAAGCAGCCGAGTCACCCATCCTTTGCTACCTGACCACGAAGAACACATTCTACAGGTTGTCGAAGACAATTCATGTATCAGCACACATGAAGTGGTCCTTGTTTTGGTGTGAGGAACCCGTCCCCAAAGTTTGTAAAAATATTTTGATACACCCTTTATATATATATATATATATATATATATATATATATATATATATATATATATAAACATATTAAATATAACAGACAATGAATATAGGGAACCCACAACCATTAACTCATGTCTTCTTAATTACAATAGTGAATACCCACGCAAAGATATAAGTTAGCTGTTATAAAAAAAAATTAATCCAACGCATACAAATGATATCTTCTTCGAAAACAATATTCTATAAAGAATTACATAAAATTAAACAAACACTTGTTAATAATGGATTTCATAATACCGGCATTGATCAAAAAATTCAAAAAATGTATCTCAATAATCTTAATAACACTTCTAAGAAAATTGATAATATTAATAATAATATTGTACGTTAAAATAAACATAGCACTATTAACATATACTATTGTAACCAAATGCATAATAATTGTAAACATGACAAAACAACACTCAAAACATATCTGCTGCCCATATATATATATATATATATATATATATATATATATATATAAAACATTAGGTAGCATATGATTTACATACAAAGAAATGTTTTATGTTTATTAAAAGCTATCGATCTGCAGTACATAAAAAAATCCTATAAAAAAACTACTACTAAGACATTACACTATATTATTGAACTATATACTTAGTTCATGACATAAAAACTGAATACACTTGTAAAAATAGAATACGTGGATTTAACACATCACAAGAAATATTTAAATAAAATTCTCACTTAAAATTTTGAAAAACTTAGCGTTGCGTCTTTGCACATTCCGAGATCTTTAACAACCGTCAATAATAGCAGATATTCAAAAAGTAAGTACTAGCATTTTAACATCAAATAAACTGAAAACTACAGACAACAAGTTTATCGACGAGGATCAAACTCGCACTATGGATGAACATGATTTTAATGCATAGATTGTTTTCTAGCGATGGATGTCGCCAATAATCGCATTAATACTTCTGATTGATTCTATGTGTGATTATTTCTTTGTATATATATATATATATATATATATATATATATAACAGAGAGGAGGGAGAGGTGAAAAGAGGGAGAGATGGAAAGAGGTAGAGGTGGGAAGAGGGAATGGTGAAAAGAGGGAGAGATGGAAAGAGGTAGAGGTGGGAAGAGGGAATGGTGAAAAGAGAGAGGTGGAAAGAGGTGAAATAAGGGAGAGGTGGAAAGAAGAGCGTTTTTTTTTTCTTTTGGTCTCACTGTCAATTTATTTCCTTCTCTCCACCACCCATCCTAGACGATAATAAATTTACATCTTTCTTTCCCCCATTCTCGCTGGCAATCACACAAGCAAGCAAGCAAGCAAAGTTCACAGAGTTTCAAAGTAATAAAGATGAGCTAACAAATGATGTAACAAATCTTATTCGTTGATTAAACGTTTTTGTAATCTGTTACAGTTTTTTTCAGTTTTCACGTATCGAATACAGTAAATAATTGCATATTTTGTTCGTAGTGATTCATAATTAGAATTCTCGATTGAATATATTTTTCATTCAATCTATCTAACACAAAATATATAAACTATTTGCATTTATTCTTGAAAGAGTAACATTTTGAACTTATTTTATAAGCAAAAACCTACGGAAATGTGATATTTCCTTACATTTTTGTGACGACCTTTAAAATGAAATGCACAAAGCTTCGTTAAAGTTATTCATCTAATTTTTTGTATCAGTATTTATCACATCAAACCGAAGATTTCGTACCGAGTGCAATGATGACTTTCTAAAGAAACTGGAAAATTGCTCACTGGGGTAGACTGTTCTTGTTCCACGTGCCATGTTTGATGGATGTCAGTTATCAGTTATATCCTGTTAATTCCCCTCTCCAATTTCTCCGCCGCCTTAACAAGGTATTGAACTCACACTCTTCCTGCCACTGGATCTAACTAACGCTTTTATCCACTGTGTCATGTGTCCTGTGAGAGAAATAAAGCGTTCAGTTCTACATTCCAGTCACCTGAAGAAGGCCGGAGCCTACAACGACCGAAACGTTGTAATAAATATGGCGACAAAGATGAGGACAATAGTCCGAATCATGTAAATAATGTACATAATACATCATCTCAGAAATATAGACAAATACAGCATACCTTAAAACTATATTTTTAATATATATATATATATATATATATATATATATATATATATATATATATCTTACTTATTATAAAATGCAGATTGTGTGTGTGTGTGTGTGTGTGTGTGTGTGTGTGTCTGTACGTTTATATATTGGATCGGATTTCCTACATTTTTCAGCCGCTTTCAGCAAAACTTCACAGGACTACGTAAGATTACCTTGCGGTGGTTCTGACAGCGCCAAAATTTGGAAAAACACAATTGTTTTTGCATGAAATCAAATTGAAAACACGATAAAACATGATTGTCGCCAGACTGAAAGGGGAACAACTCATATTGAGTTATACTTATTATAAAACCCAGGTTGTTTGTGTGTGTGTGTGTGTGTGTGTGTGTGTGTGTGTGTGTGTGTGTGTGTGTGTGTGTGTGTGTGTGTTGTGTGTGTGTGTTTCGTTTATATATGGGATCGGATTTCCTACATTTTTCAACCGATTTCAACAAAACTTCACTTTTTGGCAGTTAATGTTTCTTATTGTCTTGCACATTTTTTCTTTGTTTTTACATTCAGAATACTTTAAAAATTCCAAATTCTTAAAAACAATTGTTTATAATAAAATTCTATTCAATCGGTAGACTCATAACGATTGAAAATCATGTTTTTGTTTGAGTTTGACCAATTCGTAAAAGAAAAAAAAAACTACTTAAGACATGCGTGTCCATCAACCTTAAAAAATAATCTTTGTCAATTTTATTTTTCAGTTTTTATGATGCTTGATACTTGATCTATCTCTTACTGTTACATCCCCGGGCAATGCCGGGCTCTACTGCTAGTATATATATATATATATGAGGACGTAAAAATCTTGTCAACTTTTATTTTACATACGAAATATTTATTTTTCAACATAATCTTCTTCATGTCCAGTATTTAATTCATTGGCACATATTAATCGCGTAAACCTTTGCTTTCCCAAACTCATGGGGTTGCAGCCTAGACGATCATGGCTCTCCATATATTCCTTTTCCTGATTAGCTGTGAATTGTCTTGATTTCTTGGAAAAATTAATGGAGTAATTTTCCTTTCTCTATAGTTTGGAATTCAGACTTTTTTATTCTCTTTGATTGGTTGCCACTTAGGGTGATAGCAAGTTCACTCTTACCTTACAATTTAACCTATAGCGAGGGAAGATGGATTCATGCCTGCTCCAAGAGCATCTAGAGAAGATGTGCTGATTTTACTTTCAATCCCTTCAACTATGACGCTGCTCGCTGTTTCTTCTATGTAGCATGTCTTTTCAGGGCGTGGGCGATCATGGCTCTCCACAATTTCCTGTTCGAGTAAATGTTAGTAAGTTTTGTATTATTACTGTTTTTTAATCCCTGTTCCGCCAACCACAAGCTCGTTACGTAAGTTATTCGTTGTTTTCCTCTGTCCCTCTTGTCGTCAATCTGTGAGTGCCGAATTCTCCAAGCCTTCTTTCCTTTTTATGTTCCCTAGAAATGTCAGCTGTCTCTGTGAATATAGTTTTTTTTTTTTTTTCCATTTTCGTAACCTCAGCGTTTTTTTTTGGGTTTTTTTTTTTTTTTGCTTTTTGGATTTTTTTTTTTTGATGTTTTATTTCTTTGTTTTTTTTGTTTTTTGGGGGTTTTTTTTATAGTTCTATCCAATAAATCTTATTTGATTTTATTTCAATAATCGATAAATTCCGTTTCTTTTTTGGACGGAATCAAATAAAAGGTGGATCACTGTGATCGTGAAATCTGAACGACAACCACAAAAATTAATGTGAATGATTCGTTTTCATGTTTTAATTTTTTTTGTTGTTTTATTATTATTATTATTATTATTATTATTATTATTATTATTATTAGGCTAACAAAAAAAAGCAAATTCCTTTTCGGATCGATTTCATTCGGACAAGAAAAGAATGGTTTTTAGAATTGAGAAAAAAATATTGTCCTTTTTAAAATCCTTCGCCGGTAACACAAGCTGTTTGCATGTGAATATGCCAGACTACTGAAGACGTGTTTTTTTCTTCTATTACAAAGATATCGTAAACCCAACCATCTTTTTAAATGTCCAATTCAATTAGTCCTGGGGACAGCCAATGGAAACACGCAAGAATGTGGATTTTCCATTGGTTGTAACAAAGACGTGCTGAATTATTTATGGACGCAAATAAAAACGAAAGAAAACATTTATATTGTTAGTGAAATTCTTCTTTTCAGTAACTATAAATGAACGGGGGAAAAATCCCATGACATAAAAACGTGCGCGGTTGACATGTAAGCATCAAGGCTCGTGCTTCGAAGTCGAATGCCGGAAGTGACGTGTTATAATAAAACTAGCTTTTATAGTGTGCCTTGATGGCAACATTGGCAACGTGATGAAGCTGCTTGACTAGCAAATATCCGGTTTGGCCATCTTGCAGGAACAGCCTGTATCTCGTGGAAAAATGAAACGAAATCGCTAAATAAAATAATAATAAAGAATTAAAAAAAAAAAAAAAGTAAATACATTTTCGTGTTTTGCAGAACATTCCGCGTTTATGAAGTAAGTACAAACTTTATTTCGGTAGTCCCAACTCTTATGACCAGGTCATGTTGAAACACCAGTTCCTGTACGATCACCGAAGTTAAGCAATGTCGAGCCTGGTTAGTACCTAGATGGGTGACTGCTTGGGAATATCAGGTGCTTAAGCTTTGATGCGCGTGTGGTGTAACGTAAAGTGTGTTCCAAAAACTTGAACCGATTTTAAATGTGAATTATTTTTAAGCGTCTAACGATTTTTTCTTTTTCTTTCAGATTTAACAACTTAAGTCTTTGGCAATTTCATCTATGGAAAGATTAACAATTAAACAACCTGTTAAAGTTTGAAGAGTGCAATTGGAAAAACTGTTCGTAAATTCCAACTGGGTCGGTGGCAGATGTGAAAACACCATCGTGTGTTCGTTTATGCCGATCAGCTGAAAACATTGCTGCAGTGCACGAGAATATGGCCGAAAATCCAGACCCCTCTATTCGTTTATCGCGCGCAGGAATTGAACCTCTGCACAACAATGTTACATCGTTTCCAATAGCACTTTCGGTTGGTCGATTATGTTGACCAAAATAATCGCGAAGTGTATGAAATGCATTTCCGTTTGAACGTCCATTTTCGTAATAGACTTCGATAACTTTAACACGTTGTTTGATTGTTAAATTTTCCATGGTTGAAATTGCCAAAGACTTAAGTTGTTAAATGTGAAAGAAAATGAAAAAAAAAATCATTAGACGCTTTTTTTTTAAGCGTTTCACCCCAAGCAAGGCGGGAAGCCACTAGGACGCAAGGGGTTACAGAAAATTTGGAGCAAGATCAGATAGGAGTGATAGAGGAAAGGGTGAGGAGAAGGATAGTGGATAGATCAAGGCAACTGGAGATGTCGATTGACATTACATTTGAATAGTTGGAGATTATAGCTCTCAGGGAAACTAGAATAGGGAAGGGAGTTCCACAGGCGAGAGGTGCGAGACATGAAGCTATTGGAGTAGGAGAGACGGCTACATTTAGGAGTTTCGACAGTGACGGAGTGAGAGCGGGATGCCAGCCTCGTAGGGCGCTGGAACTCATGAAGTCTGGGAACCAGCGAATGCAGCTCCTCGGAGCAATTACCATGAAAGTATTTGTAAAATAGGCAGAGAGAGGCGACGGCGCGTCTGTGAGAAAGTGACTGTAGACGAGATGCCAGAACAGGGCCAATTATATTGCATATCCGCCTCTGGAGCCTATCAAGAACCCCGAGGCAAACAGAAGGGGCTCCAGGCCATATATGGCAGCAATACTCCATGCAAGGGCGAATTGTTGATTTGTAGATCTGGAGGATCGATTCCGGGGAGAAAAACTTAAACATAATTCACATTTAAAATTGGTTCAAGTTATTGGAACACTCTTTATAATGGCTCGGAATTGTTAATAGGAGAGCCGAGTTCGAATTCCAGTTGAGGCTGTTATATTCCCTTACACGCAAATATCATTGAGAAAGGCATGAATCCACCTCTTCTGTTTCCAGTCATGGATTAATAAGACGTGTAACACTAAAACCATTATTATCTAAACAAAAGAAATTATGCAAAAAT